TATCATATCCACCTAACACTAGCAGCACTATCACTCATTCCAAAAACCAACCCAGCAGATGACAACAACAACAATAAAGACTCCAATCAGTTATCAGTCCATACATACCAATGATTCAGCCACAATTCACACCAAACAAACAGAATTTAATTTTTAGCTTACAAGGAAATTCAAAATTCTGTATATCAAAAGCATAACCAAATCCTCACAGATGCATACCCCCTCGAGCAACATCTCTAAACCTTCTTTTGCATCAACAGTGGCTATGAATTTAGTTTTTAGCTTACAAGGAAAACAGCCGGTTGACATTGCTAACTGTACTCATATGTGTTGTAATTCGAAGTTTTGATGATACTCACAAACTATGGGACCTGGTCCCATAGTTGAGCATGTCTCCGTCGTCAAATGGTGAACAACTGTAAAGACTGTCATTTCTGACATGGTTGATGAGCACAAGCAACGGGAACAGTGTACTCAACCAATCAGAGAACAGTAGGTTGTTTTGTTCATAGGATAATATATCCTCATTGACATGAAACAACCTAGTCAAGACATTGAAAAGCAATATTTCAAAAGGAACATTTTGTCTTTGAAAAACTCAAGCCTTCAAGAACCTCAAGGGACCTGATAGAGTTATCGAGTGTATTTTTTGAGTGTTGTTAATGAAGCTTGTGTTGTGCTGAACTTGTAAGATACGTTTCTAATCTATAAAGGAACGCATAGAGTCTTTTCTGTGAGAACGAACAATGAGCATAGTTAGAGTTAACTACGTGGTGTGTGATTGAAGTCTATATTAATTAGAGTTAGTTAATATAGTGGGCAATAGAGACATTGCTTTGGCTCTCTTTGTAATAGGGTTATTACTGGTGGTGAGATTAAGAGTTTAATCTTTGTATGTGTCTTTGGAGTCTGTAATCACTTGTTGCTTGAAGATAGTGAAAGCAGTTGGCGATCATGTGTAATAGCTCGTGGTTTTTCTCCTTTGAGCAAGGAGGTTTTCATGTAAAACTCCTTGTTGTTTTATTTTACAATTTAGTCTCTTTTAATACATTATAGTGTAATACCAGCCCGGTCCTGTAGTACGTGGTAGACTAGGGCCTAGTGACGTGACATAATCAATGGCCATGAACTACTTTCATCCCAAAATAATATTAACAAAGACAATACAAAAGAAGAAAATTACACTCGATGTTCACACAATATCTTAAATGTCTGAAACACCTTCAACCCATGATACTCAGAAACTACCCGTTCACTCTAAGATCGGTTTCGGGAATTCTACCCGTCCGAATTCAATTCCGTAAAGTCGTACGGGTTCCTTAACGTCTTAGCTATCCACTCATGTATTCACATTCGTTATTAGATCTCTCATCTGCTACCAAATTTCCCTAGACTTCATTGACTCCGATTTCATCCAAATCTGGACTAGGCAAGGAATTCTCAAGTTACTACGAAAAAGTTTTTCGGCCCAAAAAATTTTCCCGTTGGCTTTTCTATAACGACGGAAGCAGGTCATTACAAATACAAAGGAAGAAAATTACAGTCGATGTTCACACAAGAATTTTACCATACTCCAATCTTATATAAACTTTAATCACTGCTGCAATTTTATTTTATTTTATTTTTGGTGTGTGTGTGTCTGTTTAATGAAGTTATTATAGGGAATATTCTTAGAATCGCGAAACATTGACTATTGAATGGACCATAGTAGAGGAAATGAAATGGGAAGAAAACTAGAAGATTTAATATACAAGTTCAAAAGTAGAATAGGGAGAATTATACCCATATATCCTATAAAGTTTAGGATTGTAACACATATATTCTATGTTTTGTGTAAAATATACTCCCTCCGTTTAAAAAGAATAACCTCCTTTCCTTTTTAGTCTGTTTCAAAAAAATGACCTCTTTCCTTTTTTGATAACATTTTAATTTTAACTTTCCACGTGTTATATTTAAAGCCACAAGATTGAAGGGCAATTTAGTACATTTGACATAATTTTAATTTAGAACCACAAAATTCAAAAGTCTTCTTTATTTTCTAAAACTTTGTGCCAAGTCAAACCATGTCACTCTTTGTGAAACGGAGGGAGTACTAGCGATAAGACATAAAATTCCCTGCACTTGTCTTTTCATGTGACAGAACTATATTATCATAATGTCATGTTTTATAGGATCAGATACCAAACGACCTTTATGGTGTAAGTTGGAGGGCAATATAGAAAGGAACAACTCTGCTGCAAGTCTAGCATCGAGTGAGATGCCATACAATCGAGCATTGGCAGGAATTCCTGACGGGTAATACAAGTGAACCTCTAGACAGCTTGATCAAACAATGTAACACTTCAACTTGATCAAGAATGAGATGATACAATAAATATAGACATGGCTTTAAACATACTAGTTCTAGAAACGTGCGCTGCACGTTTATCCTTACTGTCATACAAATTTGTATAGGTCTAATCTAATGTTGATAATTATCAATTACATTATTCTTTTGTATATGTTGTTCTGTGCAAATATAACAGTGTTAATTTATTCTTTTCATTTAATTTTAGTTATTTGTCTGCAAAATAAAAAATGTTGAAAATTATAAAACTAATTAAGATAATATAGCATACAGTATGTGATATATAGTGATAAACACTTGCTCTAAATTTAAGAAATGGACGTAAACATATCTAACAAAATTAATAAAGACAAAGAATAAATATATATTTACCATGTTAATGAGGGTAAAAATGACCAATAAATTGATTTTACATAAATTTATAAGAATTATAAGATGATGAAACACAAAAGTGAAGTGAACTAATATTTTTTGTAATTCACTTTATATAAGAGATCATCACCAAAAATCTATCAAAAGACAAAAGTAATTGCAACCCAAAAAACTTATCATAAAATATAAAACCAATAAATAAAGTGCAAATATATATACACACAAAAAGAAGGATCTTTTGAGCAAGATAACTAAGGAACATTAGTAAAAAAGACACAAGTAATGATACAACCCATCTTGAAAGAAGTTTCATCATATAAATCGAAAGATAATTAAGAATATTAAACATAAATTACGTAATTGTTTTCGGCCTGTTCCTCATACTCAAATAAAGGCATTATCAAAATCGAAAGAAGGGCCATAATTTGTTTTGCCACCAACATTCCCACGAAGAAACAATATAATTCTTAAACCCAAAACTCAATATTATTTTGTAACTGAAACCCAAAAGTAGGAAATGGGTGATGAATGCATGACGATGAAAAGCTTGTAGAACTGCATAAGTTGTGAATACAGAACTAATAAGATGATTTTTACTTTGAGTTTGATAGATCATTTAACTATGTGATTGAATAGTATAAATTTTTCTGTCCAAATTTATAGAATCTTATGAAGTATATGAAAGGGCATGATATTAATTCCATGGAAGATGAGATGAATTAAACATTTTAATTGAACTAATTATAGGTAATAACTAAGAAATTGAAACTTTCAATAAAGGTGGGAATATGGAACAACTTTCTACAATCAGACTCAATGTATATTGTTTAGAAGTCTATTAATTTAATTTTAAAATTTAATGAAAAACATATTTTTATCTCCACCTTTTGATGGGTATGATTATAGATATTAAATATAATTATCTTTTTAAACTTTTCAAATATTAAATTAAGAGTAATTAAGACTATATAATAAATTATAAATTTATTTACTAATATTTACTTAATTAGATTATGATTTAGTGTGGGGGGCCACTTTTATAATTTTCATATATTTAATCTTCTTATTCTCATTTCGTAATCTTGACCTTTCAAATTTCTCACACAAATAATAAAAGACTACAAATGAGTAATTATTCCTCAACAGACAAGAAATTAAAGTAGATATATATATATATATATATATATATATATATATATATATATATATATATATATATATATATATATTATTTTTATATATATATATATATATTATTATTTTATTATTATTATTATTTTTTTTAATTTATTTATTTTTATTTTTTTTTAAGTTAAATTATGCTTTATCTTTTTTATATTTATTTTAATAGTAATTGACCTTTCAAATTTCCATGTGACTTTTCATATATATATATATATAGATTAAATGTAATTATATTTTTAAACTTTTCAACATTTAAACTAAAAGTAATTAAGACTATATAATAAATTAGAAATTTATTTACTAATATTTAATATTTAATTAATTAGATTATAATTTAGTGTAGGAGCAAAATAGTAATCAAACTTTTGCTTAACATTCTTCCCACTTATAGTATAATATGATATGATATGATGATTATTCCTCAACTGCAAGATAAATGAAGCATCTCATGAACGAGAACGAATATGCACACATACACCATGGGGTATTAAAATATGAAACTGTAGAAACTCCAAACAGGCGTCATAATAATGGTGATAGACATACAACAAAATTTTAAAACAACTACCTAACCAACATTCCTGCACCATCTACTCTTGACGGGTGTAACAACGTTGTCCAAAAGAAAATAGTAACAACAAAACATCAATGCCTCTATCATCCAAAACCATGCTTTTCTCCAATAACGATTGACACAGAGCGCTGTAGCTAATGTAAATTTCTATGGCCCACTAATTATATTTTGGTTTAATAATTAATATAAATTAAATCCTAAATATGTGTGGAGAAGTGGGGAAGTTACTTATATGTGTGGAGAAGTGGGAAAGTGGGGAAGTTACTTAGTAACTTCCAACTACCCATTAAGTCTTTCACTACCCATTACCTCTTCCAACTACCCATTGAGTGGGGAGTTACTTGGTAGTTTTAAAACTACCCATCATCTCCACTACTTACCATGATGGAAATGTGGGAATGATGTTAAAAACACTCTTATTTAAAGGTCCTCTCTCTGTCATAAAGATATAGTCTTATCCATCAAAGTTATTCATAAAGTGTAAGGCAAGAGAGAGAAACAACTTCTCAAGAACACTATACTATGGCTGATTCGGGTATGTATTCTTGACTGAATTATTATAGTAATAGATTTATGTGAAAATCATATAGTTCTACGATCATGAATAATTGATAGGATTTATGAATGAATAGATTGTTTATGTTTTCACAACCCCTTACATTCTAACTGTCACACCCCGAGCCTACACCCTGGGCGGGACCGGCACCTGGAGACCATTGTTGGCCCCAGGCGAACCCTTGGCCTGGCTTTCTTAACTCAGTGGAATAACTCAATATCATGCAAAGACACAAACAACTTAACTAATAAAAAAATATGGCCCAAAGGGCAACTCGAGTCTCAAAATAGAATATTTCCACATATATACATGTACATGGATGAGAGACTCAAAACTAACTGACTGACTGACTGTCTGACTGTCTATTGAAGCCTCTAATATACTGAGATGGATGTGGGGACAGACCCCGCAACATCCTAATAGAACAAAACTAAGTACACAAAATAATTGAGTCCTCCGAAATGCAAGGAGGCTCACCACAGACTCTGGAGTGCTCAGCTGGATCAACGACGCGCAGGATGCTGATCCGGGGTACCTGTATCTGCATCATAAGACGATGCAGGCCAACTGGCATCAGTACATGGAATGTACGAATATGTGAGCTGGAAAAGCTGAACCACAACTTAAGCTTGAAAGGAGAACAAGAGATCACTTACCTTGACTCTGAACAACTCATATAAATAACTGGACTCAAAGTAAAGCAATAAGACACAAGCCATACATAATAAGCTTGTAAAAGAATGTAGACAACTTAGATCGTTAAGGATAAAATGATAACAAACTCAACTTTTCTTTTATAAACATAATACAGCTTTTGTGGGAGGTTCTTTAACCGACAACCACCACTACGAGCCTTAGTGATGATACAACGTTTTACCTCACGTTGCCAAAGGACCATCCTATACCTTGCTATCGATATAGGACCTTACTTTTGCTTAGTGGATCCACTAGCTTAACTTTCGTAATCATCTAAAAAGTATGACCCGAGAAATCCCATGTTTGGCTACATGGTTCTTATGGAGGATTGAGTTAATATGAACTCGTGTCCCCAATTCGGTGCTCAATACTACTCCCAAAAATACTTTGGCTCATCCTTTTAAACTAACTTCTTTCTTTGATTGAGATAATTACTCAAAACTTAGCCCAAAGGCTCTTTTGGAAAACATGGCTCCTTTCTTACTTAAATGTAAAAAAAAACATTTAGAACTTCTTTGGGAAGTACATAGTTCCCTAATAACTTTGGAGAAATGGACTCGACTCTTTACTCCTTACTTTACTTAAACTCTTTACTTTTGACTTGACTTGAAACTCTTAACTCAACTTGAAACTTGAAACGACGTTAAGACGTTCAATAACGACTCTTGAAAAGCTTTAAAGACTTGTTTTGACTTGCTTAACTTCTAAGCTTGGCTCTAACTCCACTTAACTTCTAACTTCACTTGACTTGATCCTAACTTTCTTGAATTTAATTATGGATTCAAAGACTTGATTGGTATTTGGAAGGACCTCATGGTGTTTAGGAATGGTTTAGGAATGATTTGGGACAGCCAAACTAAAGAAAATCTTTGAACATAAATTCTGAAAAAAGTGGAGTCCGCGTCCTGTCCGCGACGCGGAGCAGATTTTGTTCACAGAGGGAACAAGTCCGCGACGCGGACGTGCCCCTTGCAAGCTGTCCAACTTTCTCCTTCACGATACCAACTCTAAACTCTCTAACTTCAAGGGTTCCATCCTCCAATCACTTAGAGCATAAAGTCCTTCAACATTCAATAGATTTCAACTCAAAATCCCAACCAAATCATGTACTAAACCAACAAGAACTTCAACAATACAATCACAAGGGTTCAACAACACAACCACCAACAACTTCAACACAAATCCAATCTTTCCTCAAATCAAAAAAAATAAAATGAGCTTGGTGTGTGGGGGAAAGGATCAACCCACACAAAGAACTCACATACCTTGTTAGGGATCACCCCCGACGAAAATCCACGATGATCTTGGTGGAACTTGTTGACCTCCTCGATTTTTCCTCTTCTTCTTCTCCTCTTCTTCTCTTCTTCTTCTCTTCTTCTTCTCAAGCCCTAGCCTTCACTCTCTTAGAATGGAACAAAATGATCCAAAGATCAGCCCTATACAACAATATAATCTCAAAAGAATTGGCTAGGGAAAAGACTAAAATGCCCTTAATGATTCCCGGACGGATTTCCTTGTCAACTGCCCAACTTTCAAAGGTCATAACTCGCTTATACGAACTCGGAATTGAGCAAACTCGGCGGCGTTGGAAAGATCGTTCCGAGGGCTATGCAACCATAACTGGAAATACTTCTAACTCATCATGAGCTAGAAGTTACGACTGATCAAAGTTGGCCAAAAACTCACCTTTTCCATACTTAGCCAAAAAATTTCCAGATTTTCAAATCCTTTCCAAAAATGAAAATTTCCAATTCTAAGCCTCTTCAATTATTTCACATTGCCGGATGTTACACTAACATTTGGTATCAAGAGCTTGGTTTAAGAACTAGTGATTTTTCATAGAATTAATATTTTCTTTATTTGAAAACGGTAATGGGTAGTATTAAGTGAAATAATTATTCACTATTATGATGTATTTTATTTTGAAATTATGTATATGAGATTAGTTAATCACCAAAGTGGTCTAATCTTTGAAGAATTAATTCAAAATAATAATGATTAAACGTATATTCAATTATCCATTATTTTGATGCTTGTAATCGATATAACACTTATGGATATATTGAAGTTTTTGGTTATAAGATATTTACGGATTACTCAAAGGTTGATTATTTTTATTTTATAACCATTGAACATTAAGGAGATAATTTAGATGTGTTGTTAGTTTTATTTATTTATCCAAAGATAATAAATATTATTGATTGACACATTAAAAATTATTGAATTACGTTAACTTCACATTTAAGCATCATTATGTCTACAGTTGTATTTTGATGTTTCGCCCAAAGGAGGATATCAATATACATTTAAGAATTTATAAACCATTTCTGAATTTGATAGTATGTTTAAAACTCATAACTCAAAGCATTAACAAATGAGCATATTATATTTGCGACATTTGCTCTTCATTCGCACTCTGCCTCTATTACGACCTTTAACAGTCTTAACTTCTCAGATTGGTGCGAACGGATCAAATTTTATCTCGGAGTTTTAGATCTTGATGTTATACTTTACACTGAGAAGCCAATTGCTATTACTGAAACCAGCAATACTGAAGAAAGGTCCTATTATAAGCACTGGGGTCGATCTAACATATTAGGCATAATGTTTATGCGAATGAATATTGCGGGTAACATTAAGACTACTCTTCCCAAAACTAAAAATGCAAAAGATTTTCTGAAACTTGTGGAAGAATCCTCTCAAACTGCTGATAAGTCTCTTACTGGGACACTAATGGGTATTTTGACCACCATGAAGTTTGATGGTTCACGTACCATGCATGAGTATGTCATTGAAATGACAAACGTAGCAGCAAGACTTAAGTCTTTGGAAATGGAAGTGGAATAAAATTTCCTTGTACAATTCATCATCAACTTATTACCGTCTGAGTACAACCCTTTCCAAATGAACTACAACACCATGAAAGACAAATTGAACGTGCATGAATTGTATGGAATGTTGGTTCAAGATGAAGTAAGGCTCAAGAATCAAGGAACCACTCTATCAACTTTGTAAGTCATCAAGGAACTGGAAAGAAAGGAAAGAAACATGTTAAGGGAAAACAGGGGCACCATAATGTTAATGAGTCCTCCTCTCAAGTACGTAAGAAGGAACACAAGAATGATAAGTGTCGTTTCAGTGGAAAATCTGGACACTTTCAGAAAGATTGCCTGAAATTTAAGGCATGGCTCGAAAAGAAAGGTAAGCCTAGTGCTTTTACATGTCTCGAATCAAATCTAACTGAAGTTCCTTATAATACTTGGTGGAGTGACTCTGGTTGTACTGTTCATGTTTCTAATACGATGCAGGGATTTCTTACAACACAAACCATAAACCAGAATGAAAGATATATGTATATGCGGAATAGAGTGAAGGCTCCAGTTAAAGCTAAAGGGACTTACCGTTTGATCCTTAATATTGGGCGTCACTTAGATTTACTTGAAACTTGTTATGTACCTTCTCTTTCGAGAAATTTAGTTTCTTTGTCTAAATTAGATAAGACTGGATACTCTTTTAATTTCGGTAATGGATGTTTTAGTTTGTATAAACATAATTATCTCATTGGTACTGGTACTCTTTGTAATAACTTATACAAACTGAATCTTGATAATCCTATTTGCCGAAACACTCTTAACTCTGCATCATAATATTGGAACCAAACGATGTTTGGTGAATGAACAATCTGCTTTCTTGTGGCACAAACGTTTAGGTCACATATCCAAAGAAAGATTGGAAAGATTAGTTAAGAATGAAATTCTTTCAAATTTGGATTTTACAGACCTTAACATTTGTGTGGATTGTATTTAAGGAAAACAAGACACACAAAGAAAGAAGTCACAAGAAGCACACAATTTCTTGAAATTATACACATGGATATATGTGGTCCCTTTTGATATTGCATCTTTCAGTAAAGAAAAATATTTTATCACTTTGATTGACGATTTTTCACATTATGGGTATGTCTATTTGTTGCATGAAAAATCTCAAGCGATAAATGCCTTAGAGGTCTTTATTACTGAGGTTGAAAGACAACTAGATAGAAATTATCAGGTCAGATAGATGTGGTGAATATTATGGAAGATATGATGAAAATGGACAACACCCAGGTCCATTTGCTAAATTCCTCGAAAAGCATGGCATATGTGCTCAATACACAATGCTTGGAACACCACAACAAAATGGTGTAGCAGAAAGGCGTAATCGTACATTAATGGACATCGTTAGGAGTATGTTAAGTAATTCATATTTACCTCTTTCATTGTGGATGTATGCTTTAAGGACTGTCGTTTACTTACTTAATAGGGTTCCTAGTAAAGCAGTTCCAAAGACTCCTTTTGAACTGTGGACTGGTAGGAAACCTAGTTTGAGGCACCTGCATGTTTGGGGTTACCCGACAGAAGTTAGAGTTTATAACCCACAAGAAAAGAAACTGAATTCAAGAACAATCAGTGGTTTCTTCATTGGTTATCCAGAGAAATCAAAAGGGTATAGATTTTACTGTCCTAATCATAGTACAAGAATAGTTGAAACTGGAAATGCTTGGTTCATTGAGAATGGTGAAGTTAGTGGGAGTGAAGAACCACGTAAAGTGGAAATTAAAGAAGTTAGGGTGAGAGCTCCTCGACCCTTAACTTCTTTTAAAGATGATGTACAACCTAACAATCAACAAGAACAATAAATCGATGCTCATGTTAATCTAAATGAAGCGATAATTAATGAACATGCAGTAGATGTACCACAAGAAGTAGCATTAAGAAACTCTCAAAGACAAAAGAGATCTGTTATTTCTAATGACTATTTGGTATATTTACACGAGTCAGAAATTGACTTGGGAATTAATAATGATCCAGTTTCATTTTCACAAGCTATTGAAAGTAATAATTCTGATAGATGGATAAATGCTATGAAAGATGAGTTGAAATCAATGGAACAAAATGATGTATAGGACCTTATTGAATTACCAGAAGATTGCAAAAGAGTTGGGTGTAAATAGATCTTTAAGACCAAACGTGACTCAACTGGCAACATCGAACGTCACAAGGCCAGACTTGTTGCAAAAGATTTCACTCAAAAGGTGGCATCGACTATAAAGAAACATTTTCACCCGTCTCTAGAAAAGATTCACTCAGAATTATAATGGCTTTAGTAGCTCATTATGACTTAGAGCTACATCCATTGTGAAAACAACCTTTCTAAATGAAAATTTTGAGGAAGAAGTTTATATGAATCAACCTGAGGGGTTTTCTAGTAAACGAAAGGAACACATGGTGTGTAAACTTAAGAAGTCAATATACGGACTTAAACAAGCTTCTCGGCAATGGTATCTTAAGTTTAATGAAACTATTGTAACCTTTGGATTTACGGAAAATACTGTTGATCGGTGTATATAACTGAAGGTTAGTGGAAGTAAGTTTATTATGTTAGTCATGTACGTTGATAACATCTTGCTTGCTACTAATGATCTTGGTTTGTTGCATGATACCAAAAGATGTTTCTCTAACAATTTTGAAATGAAAGATATGGGAGAGGCATCCTATGTGATTGGGATAGAAATAGTTTGAAATAGATCACAAGGATTATTAGGTTTGTCTCAGAAAGCCTATATTAATAAAGTGTTAGAGAGATATTGGATGGAAAAATACTCATCAAGTCTTGTTTCAATTCAAAAAGAAGAGAAATTTAGTCTCAATCAATGTCTAAAGAATGAATTGGAACATAAGCAAATGAAATATTCCTTATGCATCAATAGTTGAGAACCTAATGTATGCCCAGACATGTACGAGACCAGACATCAGTTTTTGTTATTGGAATGTTGGGCCATTATCAAAGTAATCCAATAATGGATCACTGGAAGGCTACAAAGTAAGTATTGCAATACTTACAAGGAACGAAAGATAATATGCTCACTTATAGAAGATCTGATCATCTTGACGTGGTTGGATATTCAGATTCAAATTATGTTGGTTGTGTGGATATAAGAAAATCTACATTTGGATATTTGTTTTTGTTAGCTGGAGTAAAAATATCATGAAAGAGTGTGAAACAGTCTGTTATAACTGCATCCACTATTGAACCCGAGTTTGTGGCATGCTTTGAGGCCACTATTCGGGCTAATTGGTTGTAGAAATTTATTTCAGGACTTGAACTAGTCGAAAGAAATTTTCAAGCCGCTGATAATTTATTGTGATAATACTGCATCAGTCTTCTTCTCTAAAAATGATAAGTATTTGAAGGGTGCTAAGCATATGGAATTAAAATACTTTTCGATTACGGAAGACGTCCAGAAAAATAAAGTGACAATTGAACATATTAGCACCAAACTTATGATTGCCGATCCTTCGACGAAAGGATTACCACCCAAAACATTTGTTGAACATGTTGAAAGAATGGATATTATTGATGGCAATGAATGACTTTATGTAAAGATTTTATCATGTTCATGCAAATTGACACTTTGAGCTCAACTATATATATGTTTCTGTTATTACCTGTATTCTCTTGTATGCGTTATGTTGAGAATGACGATGACAAGTTTTGTTTTAGATAAAGATATTCTAAGTATTATTGTGGACCCATTATGTATTTGAAAGGTTGTGTTAGGTAATAGACTAATATTGTAGTGCATGGAAGGGACTATGCCAAATAAAGTAGTGTACAACCGCCATGACTCATATTAGTTGATTTACGTAATGACGACAAATGATGTTGGATTTAACATTGTGCACATAACGATTAACATGCGTATTAAACCATTAAGTTAATTAAAGGTCGTGCGCCAAGTGGGAGAATGTAAATTTCTATGGCCCACTAATTATATTTTGGTTTAATAATTAATATAAGTTAAATCCTAAATATGTGTGGAGAAGTGGGGAAGTGGGGAAGTTACTTATATGTGTGGAGAAGTGGAAAAGTGGGAAAGTTACTTAGTAACTTCCAGCTACCCATTAAGTCTTCCACTACCCATTACCTCTTCCAACTACCCATTAAGTGGGGAGTTACTTGGTAGTTTTAAAACTACCCATCATCTCCACTACTCACCATGATGGAAAGGTGGGAATGATGTTAAAAACAATCTTATTTAAAGGGTCATCTCTCTGCCATAAAGATATAGTCTTATCTATCAAAACTATCCATAAAGTGTAAGGCAAGAGAGAGAAACAACTTCTCAAGAACAACAAACAAAAAGACTTCCGCTCAATTCAAGTCAAGATTCTCAAAAAACACTATACTATGGCTGATTCGGGTATGTATTCTTGACTGAATTATTATAGTAATAAATTTATGTGAAAATCATATAGTTCACGATCATGAATACTTGATAGGATTTATAAATGAATAGATTGTTTATGTTTTCACAACCCTTTAAATCCTTACAGCTAATCCCAATAAGATCGCTCCATACGACACAACAAAGCCAATGTAAAAATGTTGAATATCCACCAAGTTTGATGATTCCTCTATTAATCTTAGAAGTATTCGACAATTTAGGACTACCACAGTTGTTGTCTAATAGATAACCACAAAGAAATGACTTCCCTCATTGCTGCTTCTGTTAAAAGTAATGAATTGAGCTTTTAAATCGGGCACTGCACCGGATAAGTTATTGTATGCAACACTGAATATAATAACTCAATTGTATGAAAATACAATAATAACGTTGTTTGTATATTAAAATACAAAGTAACGTTGTGGGAGATTCTCTAACCCACAACCATTACTATGAGCTATGTGATGATACAACGTCTAGCCCACGCTGCCAGAATTGTCCTATACTTTGCCAAGGTATAGAACCTACTACTAAGTGGATACACTAGTCTATGCTAAAAAGCATTAAGGAATCATCTAAA